ACCGAACTACCAGTGATCAGCGTCTTTACCGCTCGGCCGTTTGTGGGCCTTTATGAAATGGAAGGCAATAACTTTATTTAAAAAGATTGTCAGAAATACCAAAATGTTTCGAAAAAGTGGGATACTTTTTAATATACTTTCAGAATGCTTAAAGAAAAGAGAACAAAAATAAAATTTTTTCGTAAAATTTAGTATTTGTATTTTTTTTAATTTAAAACTTTTCAATGTTATGATATTTGATTCTTGCGATTTCAAAAATAAAATATTTGACTAAAATATGAATAGCATTTAAGAAACCAAATGTAGGATAAAATTGTGTAAAGCAATGGGCACAATGATAAAATGTTTTTAAAGCAGTGTATGCAAGTCATCCTAAGTTAAAATGTCGGTTATACATCTCTCTTATTTATATATATCTTTTCTGAACGGAACATTGAAAGGCGTGTAAAAAACTGTGCTTTACTGTATTTTCTCTTTTAATATAGTATGCAGTTTTCAAACTCATCGTAGTCTGGGTTACAAAGTATTCTTCCGAAAGAAACGCAGTTCAAATAAATAAAATCAAATTCTGGAAAATTGATATTAATAAATATATTTAAAATGCTCAGTTCGAAGGAATAAATAGAAAATTTTAAAACAATTATCTGAAGAGGACAATGCAACACAAACAATTAAAATTAAAAAGTATAAAAATTTAAAAATTACCTAAAATAATAACTAAAAAAATATATATATATAAAAGAAAAACTATTTGAAAAAAATAAACGCTGCCCTTTATTTACGCAGTTCGAATAGGTAAATAGAAATTTTTAAAAACAGTTATTCGAAAAAAAAAAACGTGCAACTTAAACAATTAAAATGAAATTCGAAAAAAAAAGAAAAAAATTACTTAAAATAATAAGTTATAATTAAAAATATAATATAAAGAATATTATTTGGAAAAAAGGAACGATGGTGACTTTTTTCCCTCTCACGGGAAAGGAAACTAGGTTGCCATATATTAAGAAGTTCGCCAAGTGAAGTATTCTTGGCGCAAACTGACAAAGAAGTGCCAACATAAATTTGTAAATTTCTCCGTAAATTTCGCTCCAAATTTTACAAAATTTCATATTTAGGCGTAATTTGAGTCGTAGAATCGAAATATGTAAAAAAATTGGTATGTTATTTCAGAAAAAGTCCGATTTTGTGTCAAATACCTATGTTAGAATAGTGCTATATATAATATAATATATATCCTAAATCGCGCTTTCAAGACATGAAGAACGCAATTTGAATTTTGTCAATCGGCCCAGTAGATCGGGAGATATAGGATTGTCTTTTTTTTTTTTTTTTTTTTTTTTTTTTTTTTTTTTTTTTTTTTGAGCAGTGTACATATACGGATACTTTCAGTGAAATCATGTGTGAAATTGCTGTATTTTTCTGTATAATGTAACATGAAAATCTAATCTAGAGAGAGGATGCTCTGCCGAGAAAATAAGAATACAGGGACAAGTCTATTTAACAATGAGTAAATGGCTATCTCGCTAATTTGGCGAGATATTGCCAAGCTGGCAACGGATTTGGCGACATTTTGGTCCATCCATGTATCACCTTAATAGGTATAGTAATTGAGTAACTATAATTGATTTCAGATGCAACTGTTACAGTACCCAGCCTCATACGCCTTCCACTAATTTCGGCAAGTACGAGACATTTCTCGGCAGCCGTGTGAAAACTATATAAAGCCAGAGACAGCATCTGCTCTCAGTTGTTGTTGTTGTTGTGAGTTCTTAGTTCAGCTCAAATTCGGAGTACTGAGATATCTCCGAGTTAGTTCGAGGTCGTAACGCTTTAACCATGCGCTTTGTTTTGAGTTGTGTTTAATGTTCTTAGTAGTTTGAAGTGTAACTACTGATTGTACTCTGTGATGCTATAAAAACCTGTAAAAGTATTTCTGTGGAAAATTCCAGAATTCTGAAGTGTTAGTTTTGATACAACAAAGTTTATGAACTTATCCTCGGACCTGTGTGCATTCAGTCTATTACGAATCTATACGCACGCAACAATATTATTCCAAAGAAGCCTTTCATCCGTCTGTTTGTAGCAATATAAGTTTAAAATAACGTAACTGCTTTATGAAGCATTAATTTTTAGTAATTTCCAGATTTTGAATGCTGCAGATTTCCGTTTTGGATTTTCAATAAACATTTATTACAGTTAACACGGAAATACGAAATAAAGAGGTAAAAATATAACTTACTTCTTTTGTGCTCACAGATCATAACAGGAAGATTCCTATAAAATGTCTTCAATCAGAAATAGCATACCTGAGATATTGTCATCATGCGATGATTTGTTTATTTTTTACCATGAAATTTACGGCGATATTTTAAAATTGCAAAGTTTTTCAGCACATTATTTTAAACCATGATATTTAATACCGAGACGTTTTCTCTTTGCTTTCTTTCACAATTTGGAGGGGCGGGGTGTATAACGACATTTTCTTCCTGGTGTTGCTTTCTCCGCAACGTTTTCGTCCGCGATGTTTTCGGTGGACACAAGTTTTGCCCTGAATAGGAAAATTTGGGCTAAGCAAAAAAGCAACTGATAGCCTTCCTTTGGATTTTTACTTGTTTGGTACTTTTTCTTTTGAGTCAATTTAAATCAGATAAAAATCTTCAGCAGTTCAGCGCTGCAAATTACAATGGGTACTTAATTGTAGTTTTGCAACGCTACGCATAGTAAAATCAAGGAAAATAGTTTGAGTTCCATTTTACCGATTATTTTTAGTAAATAAAAAAAATCTGATGTGTACACCACATGACTTCCTTGTACGGAATATTAAATTATACGCATTTTTTCTTGCATTTCATTTAAACTTATTAGATTGAATTAAACCTACTTCGCCGACAGCGCATAAAACACAATAGAATAAATGCATTCTTTAAAATTCACTTTGTTTACCATAGCGACCCTCTGGCGCTAGGTTTAATTAACAGTATTATGTTTCGTTCATATTATAACTCAGAATGCACAAAATTTATATCATTTAAAGAATTATCTAATTGTTGCCACATGTTCTATTCAAATACTATAGCTAGAACTATGTATAAAAGAAATTAAGCAAACAAAACAAGAAAGAAACAGTTTTTCACAGACGATTGAGTATTTCTCATTCAATTAATTCAGTTTTCACTTCGCGACAACGCAAAAATACATAAAAACTCAAAATATCTGTATTAAAAATTACGAAGTAAATCTTAAACGCTTATTTCCTCGAAAAAATTCCAAACTTTTAAATTGTTGATAATTCTAAAAATATTGCATACAGATTTACTAAAGGCATAAAACCCTTAACTAGAACATAAAAACAACATAATTCAATCATTTTTAAAGCAAAAAATGTACAATTTACAAACATATAAGAGTAAAGAAACTGAGATCACTGAACCGGGTAACAGAGTGGATATATTTATAAATATATTTATATACGTTTGGCGCGGCCGATTGCAACCAAAATACGATGTGCACATCCACATGTTATAACAGTCCTATATACAAAATTTCAAGGTTCTGAGGCTACTCGTTTTTGAGTTATGCGAGATACGTACATACGTTCGTACAGACGCCACGAAAACTTCTCTTAAGAATTTATTTTAAAGCAGTTTTATAATTTTTTTGGAGGAAACGAGTCTTTTATTCTGTTTTTACGTACAGATATCACGCAAAAACATTGTTAAATTGCATTCGAAAGCGGTCAAAATGGATATTTTTTTGAAATTGAAATGTGCCCTGAAGCTTTTCCGCGATTTCCTTTTATTAACAATACTTCCTTTTTTAAACTTTTTGCTTATTTATCCTTGCGCGAAATAATAAAAATAACGTACTTAAATTCTCTTTACAATATTTAATATATTACGCTATGCATAAATCTCTTCAATATGGACTATATTATTATATATAATATATTAGTTACAAAATTATATTGCCAATCTCTTAAATATTAGAAATTTATCGAGAGTACATTTTGACAGTTGCAACTCAAAATAGAAAATTTGCAATCCGAATGCAAAAAAAAAAAAAAAAAAAAAAAAAAAAATTAATTTAGAGAAGTGACCCTTAGAAAAGAGGAATCTTAAAGCAGTGGAGAACAAAACATTGGCTAGTAAAAAAAGATTTTTTGTCACAACACAATATTTAGAGTAAGAAATATTTTGGCCTGAATTCAGACTTGTTATTTCACCTTTTCCATTGTTTTTGGGATTGTTTCTGTAATAGAAACAGAAGGCCCCACTGGAAATGGAAAAAATCTTTGGAAGATTACCAAGTAAAAGCTAACAAGTGGCAGATCCCATCGTGAATGAACTGGCGAAGAAACAGAAAAGAAAAAAAGGGCTACAAAAAACGCAAGTATTCGTATCAAATATAAGCAAGTTTATCATTCATTGCTTCATTCTCCAGAGACATTCCAACTTATTCCCATTTCTACCTTGATTCAATTTTTTCTGATATAAAAATAAGAAGAAGAACTTAGTTTTCCCATTTAGTTTTCTCTCGCTCTTTCAACTTTCCTCTATAGCGGTTTTTTAATTTTCTTTTTTATTGGAGAGAAAATTAACTTCATGGAAGAAAATTTTTTAAATATTTTCCTTTCTTCTCAAATAAAAATAGTTATCGTTATCAGTTCCTAAAATCTTTACTGTTGGGTGAAATTAAGATACAACTCAAAAAGAATTTCAATTTTTAAAAATTCCTTTTATTTGTGCATTTCTTTTCGGTACTCAAAACGGCTTAAATATAAAAATATGAATATGAAAAGGAAATGCAGTAAAAATTGAGAAAAGACTGAAACTTTGCATATTTTCTAAATGTTACGATGACTTTTTTTCAATTACATTAATATGATTAGTATTCGTAAGCGCATTTCAGCATACAATCAATAAATTAAACAATAAGAATAAGAGACGCATTAAAAGCAAATTATCAACTCACTTTCGAGCAGGAAAAAGAGAGATACTTACGGGCTATGTTCTTCCACAGCTGAAAAGAAAAAAAGAAACATTTTAGTAGCAAAAAGGAATATTAAAAAATAAGATGCACAGCAACAAACACCAAAAGTTTTAGATTACTGGCAAAATAATTCATTGTCATAAAAATAATAAAGTTTCAGTTTTAAACCAGAATCTTGTTATGGTTTTCATAAAATAATCATTTTCATGCTCCTAAAACTGGAATTAACAAAAGTTACTTTCAGGCCACTTTGCTAATCTAGTATACATAATGTAAACTTCACATGCAAGCTTAGTTTTAATGTGGATGGTTGGCAATATACTGAATCCGAACCATGAGTTCATTATATACATTGAACTGCGGTGCTTAACCACCAGGGTGCCTGGGCGCATAGCCCTACCCCTCATCGAATAACATGATAAAAGTTTCGAATTATGAGAAATATAACTGAATGTGCTAAATAATTAAATAAATACATATTTTTCCTGAAGTACCTAATTACTAATCCATACATAATTAACTATTTTTAACAACTATTTCACAGAAGAATACATGTACACACAAGAGAAACAAAATACGAAGTGCGACGCCTTAATGCCACTAGTAAAAACAAAATGCAATCAGGAGGAAAAAAGAACAATATACAATAAAGAATCTGAGCAACAATTTGCATAACACATATACAAAATTACTTATTACTAACATTTAGGATCGCTCTTGGGCGTTTACTGAAATTGGGGTCCCTAGTATCATAACAATAGTTAACAACCCCAGGATTGTCCAGAAGTTCCTGTTTATCATAAAATGCCCTAGATAGGCGGCAATAAAAATAACAAAGATCCTCTATTCTGAACTCTTTACGAATTTGGCTATTCCGAATGTACCAGGGGGCATTACATATCATACGCAATACCCCGTTTTGGGCAGCTTGTAACTGCCTTCTCAAACTTTTGCACGAGTATGCCCAGACGGGGCATGCATAACTAAGAATTGGACGCAACATGGTTTTGTAAATGAGCAAACTTATTATCAATAGATAGAACACACTGTTTCGAGCAATTAAGGGGAAGAGTGAAGCTTTACTAGCTCAAAACTTTCCTGAGAATATGTGTAACGTGTGGGTTCCATGTAAGAGATTTACTGAGGATCACCCCAAGCTAAGGGACCTGCTTGACCCAGGGAATGTCCAACACCATACATTTGCAGGTGAGTCGGGAAATTCTTCTTAGTAGTAAACAGTATGGCATGTGTCTTGTCGACATTCACTTTGACTTTCCATTTGGTCAGCCAAGTCTCTAGCGAGTGGATGTAGTGTTGTAGCTGTTGTATTGCTGAACTAACAAATGCACTTGCGTAAGGATCGCTGTGTCGTCTGCATACATGGCTAGTGTTGTGTTGTGTGTAGTGGGGATGTCGTTCACGTAAATATTGAATAGGGTAGGGCCCAGAAGGATCCCTGTGGAACACCAGCCCGTATAGGCCGGTTTTTGGATAATGAACCAGAAACATGAACGACAAAGTGTCTACCGGTTAGGTAGGATTTAATTATGTTTGTGATGTAGCCTGGAAGTCCCAGGTTGTGTAATTTTTATATGAGGGCATTCGCATCGCATTGAAAAACATCTTGTTAAACAAAGCAATGATGCAGAAGTTCTATCTCGTTGAGTAATTTCAATATTAATTTAGATAGTGACGTTAATAATGCTGGTTACATGGAGAGGTTTTTCATAACGAACAGTCCATTGATATTTAAAACTTTTATGCATAGCATAATGAGACAATATAACTGAATTATGCAGCTTATATAGCTGAAAGGTCGACGCAACATTCAATTATAGACCTTGCACGCTGTTTCTAAAGGAAAGCAGGCGTTAGAAGAAAGATTAGAAAAAAGATTAATATATGATGATATATAGATGATAATTAATATACAGATGATAGATTAAAAAAGATGAAATTGTGTAATATTTTATAGAGAAGCATAATATCTTTTTATTATTATTACTTACTAAAAGCTCTAATTACATGATATAAAGCAAATACATGTTATTGGAAAAATGAAAACATATTTGCTTTAACGTAAGTACACGCGTCACTTGTGTTACATAAGTACCATTGCCAAAAATCTGCAAAGAGGACTTCAGAATAATGTGTTTCAATTTTAGAACAGAAAGAAAAATTATTAAACTCAGAAGAAAACTTTAAACGCTTGTACAAATTACAACTAAAATTTTATCTCACGTCCTTACATAACAGCTAACTGAAAATGAAATCATTTATTCAATAGCATTCTAATGGAAACGTTTAGTAACCGGTCGTACTAATAAAACATTATGTCCTTCTATCAAGAAATAAAAAAGTATCAATGTTGGCAGTAACATAATCTTCCTTCTAATTTTTGCCTTCGTTTAGTGACATAAAATAATTGGTTAGAATCTTAAATGATACAGCAGGCTTTCTTTTTATGGCATTCTTTTAATTATATACCGTAGCAATGACGTAAAATTCTAGAAAAGGGGAGCCACTGTATTAGTACAATGCAGATGCTTACATGCTATGGAGAATAATGCTTCAAATAAAGAAAGTTTTCAAATGTCCATGATCGTATTTATTAAAGAAAAAATCTTCAGCACCCAGCGCCATATTCCACCAATTAAATTTATATTTCTACATGCAACAAGTATCATCTATATCTGAATTAAATTTACATTATATATGTGAGCATAAAAACATAATATTGACTTCAAGCATATTGCTGTATTCAAGAGGCTCATGTTTGACCATTTTAATGAACAAAATATACATAGGGTACATTTAAAACTGTACTTAATTTCTGAAACAAATGCATTAAATGAAATTAGTTAAGAAGAACAGAAAATTTCTCTAGCATAGGTGAAAATCTTCTGCCCCCCCCCAAAAAAAAAGAAAGAAAGAAAAAGAAAAGAAAAATACCGAAATTCCATATATAAAAGGATGTATTAGATATCTGTAGATTATAAAGTATCATTTAAGATTCTAATCAGTTATTTTATGTTGATTTTCTATCCTATCCCCCTGATTTCCATTTCTTGCAAGAGTGTAAATTTCTACCTTGCGCGATATTTAAATGAGGTAGAAAAAGAGACCATTTAAAGGAAGGTTTTAAAAAGTAGAATTAGAATGTGTTCTGCCTGCTTGAAGACCATGGTTTGATTCTCTTGCGATTAGTATTTTGCGGCGTTGATTTATTCTTGCCACCAGACTTGTTTACACCAACCTTAGATCAGAGCTATCTTGCGCGTTTTTGAAATTATGAAGCCGATAGGCTAAACTTAGTTTTATTAATTTTAGTTCATCGATTATCATTAATTTAAGCGAAAGATGTTGGCTTCTGCAAGAACGAGTTGGTGCCGATTCTTAAATTTTATTTGAGTTAATAAAAGGGCCCTTTACACTTTTTCCCTGTCTCTGTGGTACTTACAAGATACAGTTATAATTCGTAGATTGTACTTTTAGAGTTTTGGATCTAGTTCATATTACCAAAAACCATCAAACTCTATGAGATTAAGAGATAAAAACGCAAAAAGTGTTAAAAGTAGCCAACAATCAGATTATAAACGTCACATTTAAATTGCAAGCTTTTGCACCGTGTTAAGAATCAAAACCTCAGTCTCGTCAAGATGCTTTTGAGCTCCCGCGGACAGAAACAGATTTCCTGAAATTATCCTGCTCTTTGTTTTCCTCTTTCTTTTAAAGGTACAAATCAAATACTACAGATATAAAATTAGACAAAGAAATAAGCGTCTGTTTGGCGTATATTTCAACCAAGGCTCTGTCGATTTTGAGGGTAAACAGGTGCAGGTGAAATGATTGCAGATAACATAATTTAGCATGGTAAGGCAAACACACAGAAAGGGGTTTGCGATAAACAGTAGTGCTAAAATCAGATTCATTGCGGATTATAAGAATATCGAGGAAGAGAAGGATATTGTCAGATTCAATTTCAAAAGTGAACTGGAAAGTGTCATCTACGAATCGCGAAGTGAACGCGAATGTGTCACCTACTTAGTGAACCCAGAGACGAAAAGATAGTTCCTTCAATAGTTTGACCTCAGAATAGTGCATGCAAATGTCAGCAAATACAGAACTGAAGGGCTAACCCAACAGCTAATCCATCGACTCGGCGATAATACTTATTTTGGGAAATAAAACGAGTTTTACTCAAAGAGATTTTAGTAAGAGAAATTAACTCTTCAATTTCAGTATGTGTGAAATAGAATTCACGAAGCCTCGCTTCAAGACATTTTAGTGCTTCTTCGACTGAAGAATTTTTTACAGAGTAAATATTGTTAGAAAGTAAAAGAAAAAAATCTAGAAACATAATATTTGGCCAAATTATATATATGATCCTGTTCCAAATTAGAAACTATAGGTCGAAAAGGAAAAGGAATGTTGTGGACTTCGGGAAAGAACATAGACCCTAGCACAGTTTGCAATAGGTGAAATGAGTGATTTTTTAAAACTGAGTTGAGAGTATATAACAAAATTTAACAGCTGTTTAAACTTCATGAGATCAGAAGTTGAAGATTCCTTAGAAATCGAGCAGTATGGGCCTTCATTTATCAGTTTAGTGATTCATCAAAGGGGCTTTGTCCCTGAAGGACTATTGTTTTCGTTTTACGATTTTGCGTTGAATCACTATAAATGTCCGTTTTACTTTTCAAACTGTTTCCACCCAATGTTAGAGTCCTGCATTATATTTGAAGAAATTAAATCATGAAAAATCTGCGTAAATGCATATATATTTCTCGCATTGTGATAAAACAACGGTACATAGAACCAGCGAATTTTGAATGAAGTAATCCTCCTACGAATATGGGCATACGGAAGACCAACTTTGAAATTTGGAATTTGTTCTATTATCGATTTCATATTTTGTAAAACTTTAGAGAACTTTTGATTAACAAACTCAAGGATTTCAAAGCGAGCCATGGCAACGTTGTACAGAAAAACATTTTTATCTCCAGCGCGTGAGTCTCTGTATCGGAAATTCTAAAGATATGCTCATTTTAAAACAATTGTGCGATATTGCTGTTGAACTGAATTTTATGGTTTAAGTGCAAAGGACATATTTAATACATAAATGTAACACACAAAATGTTAAAAAAAACGCCCCTTTGGACGTGATTTAAAATATGAAACCTTTCTGATTTTTTATTTATTTTATTTTTACATGAACATCAATTTTAAGACAAACTTAATTGTATTAAAGTGCTTTTTAAGAGCGAGCCTGCGCCGAGTTTCGGTATTTCTTCTCGCACTGTTACTTGGAATAGACCCTTAAGACGTGTTTCGCGGTTTGAATCACTCTGTGATCAAATATGAAAACTTCTTTACAGATTTAAGTAAATAAATCAGAAGTATTAAATAACAATATGGCCTTGGATTCGTTTCTGAGAATGGCCAAAATAATGTTATATATCATTAAAAAAGTGATATAATTCTAATTTCATCAACCTTTGCTTTTCAGTGGAACCTTAAAGCTCATAAATAAATAAATTCTCATTAAATTGATAATATTTATCTTTTCTCATATGTAATATTTTTCTATTTTTTCTTTAAAATGAATTAAGAACTAATTTAGGCTCGATTATTTGATAGCCATGTAATCTTTCCACGATTTCGGTCAACATCTTTTGCTAAGGATATTCATTCTGATGATATAATCGATTAATTTTCTAAAAGAAAAACTAAAAAGTTCAATTAAAATAATTATTTCTATATTTAAAGGTAAATGAGAATATTTTCATATAACTATCGCAAAGGAAAACATTAATTATAAATAAAAGATTGATTTTGAAATGCGCTTGTTTAAGAATATCAAATACAAAATCTTGAATACGGAACAAGAAAAACTAGTTTCAATATAACATGCAAATAAAACGAAGCGTGTAATAAAAAGAATCCAAGTGCTTCAAATTAAATATATTAAACAGAATAACTAACCTCGGAAATTAGCATTGATAGAGGCCGTCGCATCTCCTTTCCTGTTAGACACACATACTTTATATAATCCAGAATCATCATCTTCAGGATCCTTAATTTTTAGCGCTATATAGAAACGATTTGCACTTAGTTCTCGTATTAGAGGGTCCACTTTGTTTGTTCTGTGCAAGAGGTTGTCATTGAAATACCAGGTAACATCTGGTTTGGGATAAGCCATAACAACGCATTCGAAAAGAATGGTTTCACCTTCATACTCTTGCCGCAGTTTCGGCTTTTGGACAAAAGTTGGAGCTTTCTCTTCGATAACCATTTTCCAGGAATTGTAAGAACGTCAGAAATTAGGACATTTTTTAAGAATTATTTTCAAGTATGCCTCAATGATTGTTAGACTTTATGGAGCTGAAATTGATGGCTCTTTGCGCATTAGATTCATTCATCGTGTCTTTTAAGAACCCAAAAAATTTATCTGCGAAATTTATCGAACAAGAATAAAAAAAAAATGGTTAGAAAGATATAAATTCTAAGCATGTTTTATTTCCAGATGCAAAAGATATATTTTTCTCGGTGATCATATTCTTTTATAAATATCTGAAAATAGAGCCAAGAAGTACTTTCCTTGACGACTATTAGACAGTACTTTAATAAATATTCCACATTGCTACAATTATTAAGCAATGGTTCTATAAGATTATTGACAATATCATGCAAAATAAACTGTTTTTTAAACAAATATATTTCAGTAGACTCTGCAGTTTGTAAAACTGCCGATCAAGTGACTATATTTTAATCAAATATGAAATTAGTTTTCCTGAAAAGAAAGAACTAAATCTGAAGGCTATAAAAATTTACGTAATTGTATTTCAGTTGAATATGCGACAAGAAAAACCGTCCGTCGAGTAAACATATTAGATTCGAATCTCAGGTATTTTTTCACAAAGATGTATAAACAGAATTCCATAAATCACTTACTCAGCCAATGCGTATATCCCAATAAAAAGCAACTGAAAAAAACTCTTCACCAATATTGAAATAGACAAACACCGTTCAGAACAGAAACTCAATAAAGATAAGCAAAAATAAAAGAACTTTTTGATGCATATCTATACAGATTCAATAACCAGCATTTTTGTTCCGTTCATTAAAATGCATTTACTTCGTGCTAAAATCCACTTGATTTGCAATTATTTTGATTAATTTTGAATTGCTTGCGATAAAATAAAATCTTTCTGGTACAAACATCTACCCGTGGACATCGTAAAGATCCATGCAGTGACCGGAAATTCTTTAAGATCCGAAAAGATCCAAGAGAAGATGGTACAAGCAGCTAACTACGACTAACGAGACTTCTAGAGTGAAATTCGAACCCACCCTGAAGAATGCGGCTCAAGAACAAGCAGCGACTAGCAATGCTGTACGTAGAACAATGTGTGAATGTATGAGAGAACGCAGCCTGTTCTGCTCGGTTGAGAAGACTTGCTCTATTCTCACTGCTGACTAAAAACGGACTTCAAAGGATAGTTCTGTTTATCGGCGTGACGGATATATCGAGAGATACAAACAGAAGACGTCTGCGCTGGCGTTTCGAAGCACAGTGGTGCTTTTGGAAACCACAGTTAGGTATCTACGGAAAGAGTTGCTTTCCATTTACCGTTACCAAAGAGCTTAATTTATAAAATAAAAAAGGGCCAAACTTATTATTTTTAACTTTAACAGAAAGATAAAAAAAAAGTAGCGCAATAGTAACAGAAAGAAGAAATAATTTAAATTAAATAAAATATTAAGAAATAAATTTATTATGAATAAATAAATATGGATTAAATTTAAATAACCCAGTACAAAATCTTGTGAAATAATGTACCAATGGAAGGGGAATAAATTAATGGTTGTAAAACACAGAACTGAAGTTAAAAAATTAAGATACAACTGGATTGGATTATACAGGACTGAAGATTAAAAATACACGCATATATATATATATATATATATATATATATATATATATTTAAACAGCATTTCAGCTTCTTTTAAACTGTAGAGTGTAATTTTTATTCACATGCCTAACTAAAAACGTATCTATAAATTTTTAAAAAAATATTGTGAAAAAAAATTAACATGGAAAATAATCTGTTTTACTACAAATGCATTAGGAATTAAAATTATGGGCTTAATTGTTAAACAAATGTATTGGTATAGATTAGACACTAAACGTTGCACGAGTTTAACGTGATTACAAAAATATGATCCAAAATCTTTCTAGAAATTTGGATTATGCTATAATTAATTATGCTCTAGTTACTCGAAAATTGTATGATCCTCCATATTCATTTTTTACATTCATTTTTACAACTTTACACCGTGTGATAAGTACGCCATATGCCATATGCTTTACGCCATATGCTTAGATCTAAAGTTATTTTACCTCTTCAGCCCGAAGAAGCCGTAAACCGAATCAGATTCCCTTTCAAATGCGAAAACTCGGTTCAACGTTTTTACGTCTTAGGTGCTTCTTTTCTTTCTTGAAAAAGGTTTCGACCGTGTAAATTTCCCTTTATTCTTCTCAGAAAACTGAAATATATTTTCAGTAGTTAGAATCAACATCAAATTGATGAATACTAAAATATTACATGAATAATAGAATTCTCAATAAGTATTTCTATTCTATTTCATAGTGGAGATATTCCGTAGCTTATCTGATTTAGGTTATGGTAACCTTCGATTGAAATTATGACTTCTGTCAAAATTTAAAAAGTGCCAAGGCTGGCCTCCAGTGGCTCCCACTAAATTTAAGCCTTGACAAGCAAGGTGAATATTAACATATGATTCCAATTCACACTATACAGAGCTTTTTTTAATAAAATTTCAATAATACTTTGTGATTTTTATAACCGTTGAGAAAAAGAAATACGTTGTTTCCTTACAATCTTTTCCTTTAAAATGAATAATTTTTGTTTTGATGCGTTTAGAATATCTATAAATTTAATGCTAAATCTTGACCAAATATTTTATAGGAACTCTGACATGATGATAACATTAAATGCTAAATATTAATGAATAAATGTTTCACAATTTCTTTAAGCGTAATACTGAGCAATTTATTTTTAACACGATTTTAAAAAAGGTATTCATCCGTTACATGAATTCTACAATTCATGGTTTTCTCTCTATCCCAGTTAGCATTAACAAATTTTAAAACTAGAAAATTCATTTCCGTAAGTTTCGAACAAGTATTAACGCAACAGAAAATTTTATTTTTGAAAATATTAAAAATGATTTTACCAAATTAATAAAAGAAAATGTAAAATTCCGGCCAATATGTTAGGATTTATTTTCAAAGGGACTTTCCTTTCCGCTTTTAAAATAATTTTGTGTATAAATATAACACTATCATATACTGTTGAAAACTTCTCATTCAAACTGTGATTAATATTAATAGCATTCTAAAAAAGGATTACAGACGAGAAACTTACAGCTTTATGGAATGTTTTACTTTTCTCAGTTATTTGCATTATGTTAATCACCATTTTTTTTCAAATATTATCACCTTTAAATTTATAATTATTGATTTTCTTTGGGCAGAAGACATTGACTCAAAAGTGATCATTTCAATAAAGGTGGAGGAAATTTTTCTTAATTATAGGTCCATAAATTTCTTTCATGTTATTTAAATGAAAGTAAACTGTATAGCTTGACAATTTTTATATTTATTGTGTACAGAAAGTTTCTAAAAATAACATTATTATCGAAACGACGTAGATGAAAATTAGACTTTTATATTCAATATGTATACAAAATTTTAAAGCAAATTTAAATTAAAAACTGTATTATACTATCACGCTGATAGGAATAATTAACCTTGTTTAAATTAAACAAAGAAAGTAATTTTTGTCTTTGCTTTTGCTCATTAATGAAACTTCAGGTATACATAACTGCAGTAAAATGAAGGAACTGACTAGTTACTTCTCATGGATTCAATTAACTACTTGCAGAGGAACAATTCTGCACAAAAACTGCAAACAGGATTTGAATTTTAATGAGCCATTGCTTTTCTAATTTTATTAACATTTTCATAGATTTCTTTACATTCATTTCCTTTTGTTCCGAAGTGATACAAAATGGTAAATCTTATACCACTTTTCCAATGAACGATTTGCTATCGCTGTCAACGGTATAGTTTGTCTTCGTCCCTGTCAGAAGGAGAGAGGCAGAATCGACGGTTCTTCCCTTTTATTTGGATTGGCAGGATTTGGTACTCATGAAAGATTGAGAACAGGTGAAAAATTAAAACAAAATAAGGCTTAGATTCTCTTCGCCTTCATTATCTCTGTTTAACCTCATGATTAATGAGAATGGATAGATAAATTACGATTACATGATGTGGGAAATAAGTCTTCGAAAGTCATCGTCTGCGCACGCATCAGAAGACAAAAATATGTTACGCTATTTGCACTAAAAGTTTAAATGAAAGTAATACTTTGGGAAATAATAATAAAAGAAGCATAAGAAAAGAGAATATATTTAATAAAAGTTCTACTTTAACAAATTAAAAGTACATTAAGTTATATTTTACTCGTCCAATTCATAAATACGTTCTTTAAAACAATATCGTCTGTTACCATCCGAGAAATCAGAACTATCTAATAATTAAAAAATATTTTTTAAAACGCAATAATCTTTATTCGAGACTTTACCACTGACCTCAATCGAGCAACATTTTGCAAAGCAGAATATTGTTTAAATTAAAAAATAATTAAATGAATTTAAAAATAAATTTATTCAGCATACACAATCAATACTTCTTCTCAAAAGAGTATATAGTACAAGAAATAGTTCTCAATAAAATATACACAGTCAGTAGGTCAAAAACATTTAATTCTCGATAGCGCACTTTTGCTTATTCTTACATGCATATTCTTTGATTCGTACTTATTTCATACTTAACATCGTACTTATTATTGTTTCCTTATTTTTATTTCGCCCTTATTACTGTGTTATTTATTATTTTGTATTTATTCTTTTTTCATTTATTTCTTTCTCGTTTGGATAATAGATATTCAAGATCTTACTTCTTTGCTTTTCCAAACATAGACAAAATAACTCAGACACTATCACTATCTTCATTTAAAGTTTATCAATAATTAAATACAATCGTTGTACAAATAAAAATAATTTTCAAATACTTCTACGCACCTGAAACTTCTAAAAATTGATTTAGTAGTCTTCAAACATAGAATAATAATACTTGTTTTGTGTCCTAATGTAAATCCACTGTAAGCCCACTTCTTTTTATATCAAAGTAGCATTTCAGAAAATACTAACAATAACAGCATAGGGAAAGGGAATAAATTTGATCAGAGTTATATTTATCATATTAAACGTACGTATATTAGGGTACATTTTTAGATGTCCGATTCTTGCATACCATCTTCTAAAACGACAACATCGTCCGTTGCCATTGGAGAATATCAAAACTATCTAATAATTGGAAAACAATTTTTAAAGGAAAATAATTACACAGAGTGTAAGAACGAATCACATGCATCAAAAATTGTATTTAATGTTTGGCAATGCTATTTTTATTTCTTCGTAAAACTTAGAAAATTTTTATTAACAAACTCTGTGATTTGGAAGCGAGCAGAGGCAACAACTTTCAAAATAAAGAAGATTTTCATCTCCAGCATGCGAGAAGGACATGAAGCATTAAGCCGATAAGACGTTTTTTTCCCTCCGCTCCTGAAGTTTTGCTATTCTACTTGAAATATTGAGAGAGAATGTTCTTTGGCTTCTTATTGTTATACGCTAGCTGAAAGGGTATTTACGATCTACTGACTCTTGATTATCTTTACAACTGACTCTTGGCTGACGGTATGGAAAAGAATTCGGACGTTCCGCTTAGGGCAATGGATAAAGAGTTATCACTCGAAAAAGATACTGCTATTTTAAATCAGCAAATTATTGAGCTAAATAATGGAGTTCCTACGGAGGAACAAGAAAAAATGCTTCACTCATTAAGACTTAATGATTATTACTTAATGATTATTACAACTCTGTTTTATCGAACACTAACACTGAATGGATTAGGCATAAAGTTGAAAGCATAACTATTTCTCAAAATAAACCTAACACTGATTCAGACAAATCAGATTGGCTTCAAGCCCCTCGCAAATGACTAAGGAAAAGGAATAATTCATCACAAGATGATTCTCCTCCTCTTAAAACAAGCACTGAATTCGATTCCCTTTCAAACGAGGAACACTTGGATGAAAATAACACGGATAATAACATGGAGGAAGATGATTCTGCGACTAAGAACACGACACCTTTCAAACAACCAAAAACGTACGCAGGAAAAATTCC